GGAACATTCAACAACAGTCAGCTAAGGACTGAAACTGAAAGCAGGACAAGTTGTTAAAAGCACAGATAAAGAAACAGGTATAAAATATTCTGGAAAGATTACCAGCCGAACAGGAAAGGCCAGTGGGAAACACAGAAACTGGTACAACTTAGAATACAGTGAGCCAGAGGCAATTGCTGGATCCAAAGGATCAGTTGATTTGGGACAAGTAAACAATCTTGAGGTGACGGAAAATATCAAGACAAACAATGACAACAGAGATGAAATATTAGTGGTGAATGAAGATGTTTTCTCAATGCCAAAGAAGTTGAACTTGACAACTGGAAAAGAAACAATGTGTATGAAGAAAAAAATAAACGAAGGTCAAAAATGCATATCAACAAGGTGGGTATGCACACTCAAAAATACTCAGGCATTGAACCCAAAGCTAGACAGGTTGCAGGAGGATTTGGAGAATTAAACACTCAAGAACTTCCTAAAGACTCACCCACATGTTCCTCCGAATCTCTGAAGATGGTCATAGCTGTCATATGTCAAAAAAATGGGAAATGAACTCAATGAACATCAAAGCAGCCTTTTGCAAGGTAAAGATTTAACCCGAGATGTGTATATCCAGCCACCAAAAGAAGCAGACAGCAAAGGAAATGTTTGGAAGTTAAATAAATGTGTTTATGGCTTGGTAGATGCTTCCTTGTTTTGGTACAACAAGGTGAAAGAAACTATGCAGGAACTGGGGGGCACCACGTCCAAAGTTGATCCAGCTATCTTCTACTGGCTAGATGATACTTGTAATGTGACAGGAGTCCTTGCATGTCATGCAGATGACTTTGTATGGGGTGGTTCTGACATATTCTCTTCAACGATTATTCCCAAACTAAAAACTGGATTTCAAGTTGGACGAGAAGAAAATCACAGTTTCAACTACATTGGGATGGAGGTCCACTCTCTACAGAATGAAATAAAAGTACAATAGAGCACATACATAAAACACCTACAGCCCATTCCCATTGATCCCACCAGAGCACCACTGAAGGAGACTCCTTTAACTGACACAGAAATGGAGAGGTTAAAATCCAAAATTGGATAGATACTGTGGGTGGCAAGACAGAGCAGACCTGACATTATGTGTGATGTAGGGGTTTTAAACGCTAAAATGGATAATTTGGGAATTATTTTAATAAACAAATTATCTTACCTCGAGGCACCACTAAAGTTTTTTTTAGTAAAACTTCAGAAAAACTTTTCTCTTAATATTCAATCTCTAAATATGAAGGCGTTTAATTCTTCCAGTTTAATGACAGCGTGAGACAAGGAAATACACTGATGGAGACAAATCACATTTGGAAATTCATCTGTGTATTATTTAAAATGAGGTTCAGAGGGAAATATATGCATTACAAGTCATTTCTCAGACAAAAACACACTTTATAATCAGTTACGTAAACTTGATCAAGGAGTGACGTAAGTAGTCTGACATGGCTACCATGTGAACAACTTTCTAACARATTTCAGTGAGACACTAACTCGCTATTCCTAAGCCTACAGCAAACAAAGAGGGAGCTCAGGGGAAGAAGAATGAACATTGATATACTCTGATCTGATTTAAGTCTTTGAACACACCATCAGATTAATTAAGCAAGATATTTCCTACCGGCAAAGTTTGTAGATGCCAGAATGGATCCTTCTATGCTAATTGGGCTGGCACGTGAAGTCCAACCGAGTCTGTGACTTAGCTGTGCAGAAGCTCCCTGGTCATCTGGATTGCCGGGCTGCATTCACTGGAGATGTTGTCCAGGGCACCGCAGCGGCTGCGTTCCTTGCGGGCACACTGGTGGTCGTCAGACTTGAATTAAATCAGCCTCATCGTTTCAATCAATGTAAATCTCGTTCCTGAAAAGCTCCTGCAGAACAAAACTACAAAAAGGAAATAAAGTTGGAAAAACGAATGACCTAGCCCCGGGATGGGGGAAGCTGGAGCTAAGCTACTCTCTCCTCAATAACTTCTTCAAACTCAATACATGGCAAAACAATGAAAAACTCCTTGTTCACAACAGAACTTCTCATTGGTTAAGACTTTCTGCGGTGGTCACATGACCTATCTGGACATGTAACAGAAGAAGAGAGCAATAATTAATCAAAACCAGATCAAGTTACTAAACAATGCCATGATTATTACAGTAATTAAATCAGAGTACCAAGGTATTGTTTTGACACTTCACAGACGCTTTTTATAGTTATAAATGGAAAACATGGGTGAAAAATAAAATGTTTTCAGGGTTAATAAGATAAGTTCAACATGGTGCAAAATAAAATGTCCACGGAGTGGCATTGCTGACTCACAGATAAATCTGATGGGAGTCTTTTGATGTTTTGTCTCTTCTTGTTTAACATCAGGGACCCTTTGATGTTAAACAATGTTTATTCCAGTCTTATTCTGAAAGAGGTGATAAACAAATTAACTGGCGACAGGAAGTCTAGTCTTTGTTCAAAGGCCTAAGGGAGAAGTATCAGATGAGTTAACAGGAACAATAGTTTGACTGTCTCTTGTTGAGAAGATATTCACATTTCCACTATAGTAACATATCCATTTTGGCATCAAACACAAAAAATGCCACAYTGCAAACACTTGTCAAGAAACCTGGCTACACCAGCCATCTCAAGAGTTGGAATCAGGCCAGCAGAGCCTCCTTTCGACTCTCAACAGAGAGAAGGACGGGACAGGAAGAGAAGCCACAAGAAGGACCGAGACGCAGGCCAGAGGGAAAGGAGGATGAAGAAAAAGAAGGAGAGTAACAAGGAGTAATAATTATTGTTTAATTAATTTTAATGCTGGCAAATAAATAACATGACTACTAATTATATGCTTAATTGCAAAGTATGATTTAATTAATGTACTGTAAAAATCAATGTGTTTTCAAATGTAAGGTGGTGATTTAGGAAGAGAATTGTCAGAGAAGAGAACAGTTCATCAAATGCGTGGTGACCGATCCAGCATCTAAAGTTGAAAAGAAGTATAATGGTGCGTTCACACCAAACGCGATTTCAGCGTCAGGAGCAGCAGGTTTACATGCAAAGTCTATGGTGGACG